AATTCGATGGACTCAAAGAGTTTGTGAAAGTGCCATGGTTGTTTTTGACCCATTTGCTGCAGTTTTGTCTTCATTCTCCAGTGCTTCTTTGCCTTTAGAATTTTCATGGCAAAAACTTTGTGCAAACTCAATACATTCTACCAGGCAAAATTGTGGACAAAAGCAATATTATCTAAATTATTTACCTGATTTACTTATTCAGATAATACGTGTTTATAGACCCTAATTCTTGTTTTAAACAAACATTATTATATACTTGAAGCAAACACTTAAGCTATGTTTTCCCCTTAAACAAATATCCTAAATCTCAAAATTTACCCTATGGCATAGGGTAAAGCTCCCAAGATTGGAAAAAGCAAAAGAGATTTTTATACCACTTATTACCAAGCAACTATTGACATGGCATTCTCAATATTTAAACTTCAGTTCTTTCATCGGAATAATGGAAATAACAATTCCTGTCATACTAACTCAAAGGTGATTATGAGAACCTAATGAGATAATATGCATGACAAAACTTGGTAAAGAAAAAACAGCATAAAATACATTTGAAAGGAAAAACAGAATATATACTTTGCACTTATAAATATGGCATGTTGATTCTAAATGATCTAGACTATTCACAAAAGTACCTACTTGACGTGTTCCTCCAAAAAGTGTTTTATAATGATTACAATAGTTTTATAAAAATAAACATACATAAGACCTCAATAATTATAGGCTGCATCTCATGGCTCAAGAAGCATTTCATGGAATATACACAATACAGATTGGCCAGATTGAAATATTTCAATGGTTAAATAAAAGATAATAGCATGACTCAAACCTGAGGGGGCGTACCTGATAAATGCTGTGGCACTTAAGTATGTTATGTCAAGGAAAAACTGGTCAAGGAGAAACTGTCTTTGAGCTTGAAGGAGACAACGGTTCTACATAAAAGCTTTCAGGGTTGCATTTTCTGAACAACAGAGGCCTTAAGGGCCCTCAGAAAGATGAGTCACGTATCACTAAAGCTGGACGCATCAGCTGGCATTCAGAACTAGGAACAAAGTATTTGCAAGTTTAAGCACTCTTCTTAATAGTGTTCCAGTAAATAGCATCTTGCTTTTACCTGTATATAGCCATGTGACTTATTTTTAAAATCTGTTGTTTTGTGCTCTCTAGATTAAGTATTCCATCCTGGACAACAGTGAACATTTTGTAACGGCATGAAATTTCAAAAGCAAAAGGCAAATATCATCTAAACCAGGCTCCCCTACTGCCAAAGAAGACCAGGGTTTACCTACCTTGGGGAGCTTAACTTGTGTGTTATCTTATGCAGGGAAAAAGACCCCACTGGCCTTTGTTAATATCTTTGTGATGATTCAGCCCAACAGCTAGGAAAGCTCTGTGAAGGTTTAACCTAGATCCTAGATATTTCCTTTCCTTTTGCTCCTTTTAATATGCTACAGGAAGCACAATTCACAGCTGTGAAAACTTCAATACTCTAACTGACCCTACCCAGTCTCGTCTTCAGTAAGTACTCACATTTTCCAGGCAGTGCAAAAACACTAGGCAGAGTCAGACACAGGAGCTACCCAGTGAAAGTAATGCTTCCATAGAGGCCCTGTTTCCAAACTCTTTAATTCTTCCTTTCTTATTTTCCTTGAATTATCTAAAATCAATAATAACGATTCCTTTTCCAAAGCTACACAAAGCAAGGATGAACACTGATGCTGGTGATCCGAGATAATCTATTTAACTCTGTAAACCTCTGTTTCTTTTTCTGTAAAAATGGCTGCTCATATTATCTCTTCATCATTCACAGATTTTATGTGCAAAAATAACCTCTCCCTGTCTATAGGAGTATACTGACGACTCCACATTTTATGATATGTGAGCCTTACAATAATCCCTTCAGGTTGACAGAGTCGTTATTCCAATCGCCAGTGAATAGGTGGGAATTTCCGATATTTTCATCTCTAATTTCCTTTCCAGTTCTGATTGACTGCAGTGCAGTTTAATAGAAGAAGAGAAGCTAAGACTGGTGAACTAGCTTCACATGGGCTTCCAAAACAGTCTCCCAAGCCCAACTCTAAATCATTTGGCTTCCAGAGTAAACAACGGAAATATTTTAAGAGTAAGGGTCATTATTCTATTTCTTCTTTCCCTTTGAATTCTGAATTGGCACACTTGCAATAAAAGCAAGCAAACAGATCAGCCAAGTTAAAAATTTGAAAGCATGAGAAAATGATATATCTTTAAAAAGTTAAATCTCAAAAGCAATTTGAGAATTGCATTAAGCTTGTGGTACCATAGCAATCTGTCATATATTTTCTCTTCAACACACTTACTACACTTACCTCCTAAAAGAGGAGTCAAATAATTTTAACTATTTACTGTTGGTTTTACACAAAACAAATATTTGTTTATGTAATTTAACTATAAAATATCATACATTTCCAATAACTTTGTTTTTATGTGTTATACATGCATACATATTTACTCATATAAACAAAGATGTGTATATATAATCAGAATTACCTCATATGTCATCTATATGTGTGTGTATATTGTAAACACATACATATATAAAAATATAAATATATATTTCTCAAAGTTTTGTTTATCAAAGGCATTCTTATTTACTCATATTATTCAGAACTTAAAGAGTTCATGATGGCAAATATTGAAAATTCATTCATAAAAATGAAAAAATTATAACTTTATAGTGTTACTTAAGTGTAAAAATATTCTAAACCCTTAGTGAAGTACATGCCCTGTAACACGTCTTACATACAATCATTTTCCACTATTTGTTCCATTCTCAGGTAGTATTATTACAAACACAGGGTTAATGTCATGAAATAGAAACCAAAGTTATTGAATTAAATAATTATATCAGTACAAGACATGTTCATTTTTTAAATATGATCTGCTTGCTTGATAATAATCCCTTCACAAACCTACCTATATCTCAAGGGCATTTTGAGATTAAAACTTAATTTAAAACTTGGTTAAGAAATGCCTTGAACTCCTTAGGGAAAAGGACTTAAGTAAATGAAAGGAAATTATTATAAAAGTCATTTAAAGCAATGCTTTGTAGTTTTGCCCCTAGAGAAAACAAACAATAAGATTATTTTATTGGGCAAAAAGTAAGTGTGTTTTAATTACATTCACAATGAGTTGTTTTACTATATCTCATTTTATAAAATCATCATATATATACATGTATGTGTGTGTATATATATATATATATTTGCCACTTTGAAATCATTTCTTAAAGTATTAAACCAAGAACTTACATGTATGTAAAATACACACTTACACATGTATATATAGTCCACCAACATCTAAAATCTGTATTTTATATACTATACTGAGTGAAATTATATATGGCAATGTGTAAAACATTCTTTATTTCCATACTCTAAATAAACAAATATATCGTTTTAAATATTAAAATAATTGTAGTAATATTTCCATATCTAAAGTGGGAAGTCATTCAGCCTCATTATGTTATTGCAGTGCTTGTTTCCATGGCAACTCCTTCAACTTCACTATGTTAGTAACCATCAATTCACAGCCCTGGAAGGGCTTGGAAAGTTCGCAATAGAATGCTCTCACTGTTCAATTAAGAAATTGAAAGCCAGACTCCCAGACTTTTGCTTACCCACTGTCAGCCAGCTAGTTAATGTCAGAGCAGGAAGTATAAGGTGGGTCTTCTGATACTCATCCCAGATTCTTTCAAGTATACTATATTGCCCCCCGCCTCCCAGTGTTCTAAACCAACAGAAACTAATGCACACACACATTCAAACACATGCCATATACACACTATATGTATAAACAGCAGTATACCCAATGGGATTGATTGAATCAAGCTATTTTAAAAGTCAAACAATGCTTTTTATGATTTCTCAGCATTACAAATAAACATATTGTAATTATTTCTATTGGGATAATAATGACAAGACGATTTGTCGGCTGTGGCTATAGGACACCAAAACCATTTCTTTAAAAGGGGAATATCGTTAATGTTTCAAACTGTTTTACTAGAAATTTCCATTAATTTTAGTGAAGATATCTATTATTCAGGAATTTACAGTTTTAGACAATAAACATCCAAAGATATTAAGAAAATCTTTGACCAGTGATATATAGGAAACTTATTTCATGACTTAAATTTGGTAACCACTGTAAGAATAAGAAATACAAAATGCTATAAGAGAAAATAATTCTCCCATTTAATCAAATTTTATCTTCAAATAACAGATTCTAGAGTCTGAATCTGTGCTGCCCAGTGTAGTCACTAGCCCCACTCTTGAGCTCTTGTAACTAGGCAGAATTGAGATTTACTGTAAATATAAAATACGCAATAATTCAAAGCCTCTTCTCCAAAACAGTAATGTAAAAAAAATCTCGATTTTTATTCTGCTTATCCATTGAAATGATAATATTTATATAACATTAAGTAAAATATTTTATGAAAATTAACATTACCCGTTCCATTTTACTTTTTTAATGTGGCTACTAGAAGTTTTAACATTACATATGTGTCTTACATTTGTCATTCATGTTGTATTTCTATTGCTCAGCACTGATCTAGACCATTTGCATGCTAATTCTCCTGTGTGAAATATCTATTTCTTAAATCCAAAACAATCCTACTCAATCACGACCTTCTCCTTAAACTCTTTTTGGATCTTTTCCTTTAAAGAGTGAGCTCTCTTCTTTAAATTCTAATGACATCTTTCACCTGACCTCACAATCTCTTCTAATGCCTCTACTTGGTTGTAAGTTACTAGCAAGTAAAGTATATGTATAGTTTTACGTATGTTTGTCACCTGCAAAACAACCACCATGGAGCTTTTGGAAAGTATCAGTAAAATTTTATTAGACAAGTAAGTGAATAAAAAGATATGTAGTAAATGCATTCTTTTTTCCACTTTTGCTCAGGTAAAGCTCTCTTGAGAGATCAGAATTTGCAGAAGTAGATCTGTGACTTAGAAGATACGTACCAGCTGACTCTCAGATACTGTAGAAGATGGTGAGGAGAGATTTGCCTGCAAAACATAAACATGGTGTTTATTTAGTGAAACTCATAATTTATTAAAATATTTGTGTGTTTAAGTATTTTGAAGTTTGTTTAGTATTAAAGAATTATATGTCCATGATAGGATTTTGAAAAGTATAAAGGAAAAGGAAAAATATCATTATGCCACCAAAGAAATGATTTTTAATATTTTTGGTATATTGCCATAAATATTTTGCCTATGTATTTTTATTCAGCCCACATAATAGTGAATATGATGTTTATATGCTGCTTTTCCTTCTCATTTTCTTAACATAAGCATTATAACATGGCATCAAAAATTCTTCAAGGTTACATAACATTTCATTCTTTGCATACTTCACGTTTTAATCAAACATACCAGCATCATTGCTATTTCTATTTATTTAAAGCAAATTGAAACAAATAACATATATTTCTTTAAAGTATTGTTATATAAAAAGTAAAGCATAACAAAGTTTTTATGATTTGAGAATAAAAATGACTTGGTTTTTAGAATTGTTTAAAGAGCAGATTAATATTGTTTCTTTGTCATTGGCTCCTGTATTTCAATCCTTTCATCTGGATTTAGTTTCTTTCATTTTTAAAAATGTTATCTCATTGTCATAAGAACATTTAACATGAAATCTGTAGTCTGAACAAGTTTGTAAGTGCACAATACAGTATTGTTGGCTATAGGTGCAATGTCGTATGGCAGATCTCTAGAACTTATTCATCTTATTTAACTGAAACTTCATGTTGATTAGTAACTTACCACTTCCCCCTGCTCCCTAGTTTCCTTCTTACTAAAGTAAAGGTTTTGGTGGTTTTTTCAGATCTTACTGTCTTGGATGTTGTCTGAAAATGTTTTTTATCATGTTCTCATTCTTAAGTGAGAGTCCAGCTGGACACACAATTCCAGGGTAACAGCATTTCTGTCTTTTGCAGGTGCTGTGCCACAGACTCTGGCTTTTGTTGTTGTTGGCCTAAATGTTATAACTTGGAGGATCAACTGTCTTCAAATTTGGTTAACATTTGAAGTTTATCTCTGTGACATTCTGTAATTTCACTTTGATGTGCCTTGGTATAGATTTCTTTTTATGGTTTTTGGGGGGTCTTGTCATGTTCCTTTATTCTCAGCATGCATATCTTCTGAAAAATCCTACATGACCATCTCTTCAAATGCTGCCATTCTCCCATTCTATCTAATCTCTTGTTATTGAGCTTCTATTAAATACAGTAATGTGCCACACAATGATGTTTCAGTTGATGATGGACCTCATATATGACAGGGTTTCCATAAGATTATAATGGAGATAAAACTATTCCTGTCACCTAGTAATGTCTTAAGGATCTTGACTCTGTGTAGGCCTAAGCTAATGTGTATGTTTGTGTCTTAGTGTTTAACAAAAAAAAAAAAAGCTTAAAGAGTATAATAAATCAAAAATAAAAATTTGAAATAGAAAAAATTTATAGAATAAGGGTGTAAAAAATATTTTTGTACAGCTGTATAATGCATTTGCGTTTCAAGCCACGTGTTGCTACAAAAGAATAAAAATGTTTTAAAAATTAAGAAGCTTATAAAATAAAAAATCTACAGTAAGCTAAGGTTTATTGTTGAAGAAAGAAAAAACATAATGTAGTGTACAGTGTTGTCTACAGTAGTGTACAGTAATAATCTTAGTTCTTCACATTCAGTCACCACTAACTCATTGATTCACCCAGAGAAATCTCCAGTCCTGCAGACTCCATTCATGGCAAGTGCACTATACAGATACACAACTTTTTATCTTTTACACTGTATTTTTACCATGCCTTTTCTTTGTTTAGATATATAAATACCATTGTGTTACAATTGCCCACAGTATTCAATACAGTAACGTGCTGCATAGGTTTGTAGCCTAGCAGCAATATGCTAAACCATATAGCCTAGGTGTGTAGTGGGCTATACCATTTAGGTTCATGTATATACATTTTTAAAAAAAATTTGAGACGGAATCTCCCTCTGTCACCAGGCTGGAGTGCAGCGGCACAATCGGCTCACTGCGACCTACGCCTCTCAGTTTCAAGTGATTCCCCTGCCTCAACCTCTGGAATAGCTGGGACTACAGGTGCGTGCCACCACACCTGGCTAATTTTTTGTATTTTTTTAGTAGAGACAGGGTTTCACCATGTTGGCCAAGATGGTCTCGGTATATACACTTTGATGCTCACTTAATGATGAAATCACCTAGTGATGTGTTTTTCAGACTGTCTCTCCACAGTTAAGTGAAACATGACTGTATTTTGGGCCTTCTGAAATCCTCTCCCATTTATCTCAAACTTGTTTTTATATTTTTGTCTCTTTATACTGTATTCTGGATGGTTTTTGCATATAAGCCTGACAGTTAACTTATTTTTCTTTAACTGCATATTAGTATGTTTAACATGACAATTGAAATTAATGTCTTAATAATTGACTTTTCACTTCTAGAAGTTCTACTTGGGTCTTCTTCAAATCTTGTCTTATAATATCTATAACTCATTGTAATGTTTAACGTTTTAAATATATTTATATGATAGTTTTCCAGATTTGTTATAGTCCCCCCTCGTTAAATACCATATTGCTTATATTTGCTGATTCTCCCTCATGCCTCTCCCTCATGATGTTCTTCAGTTATTTTGTGTGCGTTTCAATTTTCTATTTTGAGTAATTTTGGTAATTTGGATTTCTTTAGATATCCAAGAAGCCCTGGTTGGGAAACCATCCCTGCAGTACCTTTGCCCTCATCAGGGCCGTAGGAGTTGCACAGGTTCTGGACCAGTTACCATTTTATTGCCTCATCCTGATTTTCCTATATCTCAAGGTGGCAGATCCCCCACATTATCACATAACCCCCACATTATCATAGGTTTGGAGTCCCATTTTCTCATGGGTGACTTTTTCTTATCACCCAAGAATGTGGAGTAGGGGTTGTTTTTTAAATTATCTTTTTTCTCTTTCATGCTTCATGGTCAATACGGCCTTGTAGGTTATAGAATTATGCAATAGATTCCCACATATGTCTTAAACTTGTTACACAGTGAAAGTTATAACCTAAGTTCCTGGGTCCTGGCACCTAGCATCTGACGTACACATGTTCTACAAGAACTTTAGGTTATTTTTAGTATTCTAACCTTGATATGGTCAGGCTCTATGTCCCCACCCAAATCTTATCTTGAATTATAACCTGCATAATCCCCACATGTTGAGGGCAGGAACTGGTGGGAGGTGATTGGATCACCGGGGCAGTTCCCCAATGCTAATCTCATGATGGAGAGTGAGTTCTCGCAAAAGCTGATGGTTTTATAAGGGGTTCTTTGCCCTTTGCCTACACTTCTCTCTCCTGCCGCCATATGAACAAAGTCCTTGCTTCTCCTTCGCTTTCTCCCATGACTGTAAGTTTCCTGAGGCTTCCCCAGCCATGCAGAACTGGGAGTCAATTAAACCTCTTTTCTTTATAAATTACCCAGTCTCAGGTAGTTCTTTATAGCAGTATGAAAATGGACTAATGCAAACTTTGAAGTCCCACTTCATTTATGGCATCCAGGGATTAGTTATGTTTTATCAAGCATTTCTGCATTTACATGGGAGGTTAAACTTTCATAGCAGCCTAACCTTCCATTCCGACAGGAACCGGTCAGCATACAGATGAATAATTATAAATATGCTTGGTTAAAGTACAATAAGTTATGTTCCTAAAATATTTCTATTTTTGAAATCGCAAATATTTCAGAGCTTATTCTGATGTATCATTGTTTTAATCTCTGAGAGATCAACAATAACTGAAAACTGAAAGCCTCATGGTTCCATGTTATCATCAAGTATGAATCACCAAACAATGATAAGGCACATGAAGTCCTTTGTACACAGCGTCTAACATTGTTTTCTGTGTTTTGACTCATGCCATTCTTATAGGTGCCACTGTTTGCTGCCATTTCTGGCTGCTTGATGGCAGTAGGGTATCTTGGCTAAGTGCTCCCCTTATCTAATTGCTGTGGGCCAGGCTAGTGTGCCCTGAGGTTTAGGAAAATTGCCCTTCAGAATATCCATCATGGTGTTTTTGTCAGTTCACCTAAGATTTCATTAAACCTCATAATCGAATACAGGTAATAATAATGATTTCTTCTAAAATATTAGGTTTTTTACCATTTAACAATTTTTTCTTACTGCACTAATGAAGGCATTCTCTACTGATCCCCTAAGTTAAATGAATAGCTTCTGTGAAATATGCTGAATTAAATGCATCATAACTGAAAAAAAGGGTTAAATTTTTACCTGAATCATTACAGGAAAGAAGTTACATATTAACAACAAAGTATTCATACAATTTGTATTACTAATATTTTTCAGTATATTGTACTAAATAATACCAAATTATTATCATAGGGAAAAGGGAGAAAAGGCTCAAACATATTAATTAAATTAGGAAAATATCTAAATATCTTTTTATCGAGTCTCTGTAAGTCCCCCAAATTCCCTCACTGGGAATCATGACATAATAATAAGATGCTTTAGACACCACTAGACATTTTTTATTTCATCCAGTATTATGAACTCTGTATCACTGCTATCAGAAACTTCCCAGAGAAAGTGCAAAATTAAATGCAAACCACAAAGTGGAGTGGATATGCATAATACTAATACAGATTTGTCCTTAGCAAAGAGGAAGAATAGTGACTTATATGTTTTATCACTAAAGTAACCAAGTTTTTTCAATGAAGCCAATTACATCCAGTCTTTTGAGAAGCCACTCTATGCATGTCTAATGCAGGTTAATGCTGTTTATTATTAGAAGTTATAGCTATAATTATGTCATTAATATTGTAGCAATTATTTTCCAAAATGTGAGGAGAGATTGTGTGGTGAACTAAGCAGGTGATGGGAAAAGATTGCTACATTTGAAAACTTGCATCACCTGAATAAAGGTGGAGGAGAAACTTGAAATACCTAAAAATAAATTTGAAATTGGATTTGAACAACATTAAAATTTT